CTAAACCCTAAACCCTAAACCCTAAACCCTTTCGCCCCCGCCCTGAGCGCTGGTAGCGCCTCGGAGGCGCCCAAAGCGGCCTGTCGACGCAAGACAGGGTTTAGGTTTTAGGGTTTAGGGTTTGGGGTTTGTGGAGCTGCGCAGCTCGTGGGGGCGCGGGGTTTGGGCGGGTCAAGGGTTTAGGGTTTAGGGTTTGGGGTTTGGGCGTTCCTGCATGGCGATGTCCGGGAGGTAGTGAGGGTTTTCGAGTTTGGTGGTGAATATCAAATAAAAGTTAGGGTTTATGTCAATTTCTAAACCCCCCAAAAACACTTTTTCAGCGACTCCTAAACCCCCTTTTTTCTTCAGCGGCAGCGCCAGCAGCGGCGCAAACAGCGCGGGGATTTCCTCCTCTATATCCTCTATCTGCGCGCAAACCCTAAGCCTTAAACCCTAAACCCTAAACCCTAAACCCTAAACCCTGGCAGCTGTGAGCCGTGTGTCCCCAGTAGCTCTCTGGTGCATTTGCTGGGCTTAGGTGGGAGGCTTGCGAGGGTTTAGCGTTTGGCGTTTGCAGGGCCCCTCAGGGTTTAGGGTTTAGGGTTTAGGGTTTGTGGGGCTTGTAGGGCGCATCAGAACCGAGGGTTTGGAGTCTAGGCCTTGAGGGCGTGCGGCGCTGCAGGCGAGAGGGTGTAGGGTTTAGGGTTTAGGGTTTAGGGTTTAGGGTTTACGAGGATGGGCTCTCCGAGCCTGGCGCAAGCAGCCAGGAGGTTTGGGAGTTTGGGGGTTTGGAGTTTTGCTGCTCGTAAACCCTCGTTTTTTCCCTTTTCTTTAAACCACCGTTTGGCCTGCTGCTGCGGGTCCACAGCAAGAGGAACTCGCCCAAATAAAATGCTGCCAATCACAACAACCCCACCAAACGTCGAACAAGAGTCCCCGGGCAGGCCCTGCACGCACGCCGCACTCCTGCTGCTGCTGCTGCTGCTGCTGCTGCTGCTGCTGCTGCTGCTGTTGCTGCTGTGGGTGCTGCTCTTGTTGCTGTTGCTGCTGGTGGTGTTGCTGCTGCTGCGGGTGCTGCTGCTGCTGCTCTTGTTGCTGTTGCTGCTGCTCGTGTTGCTGTTGCTGCTGCTCGTGTTGCTGTTGCTGCTGCTGGTGTTGCTGTTGCTGTTGCTGCTGCTGCTGGTGTTTGTGTTGGGGGTGCTGAGGGTGCTGGTGTGGGCAGGCTGGCGGTGGGGCAACTGCTGCTGCTGCTGCTGCTGCTGCTGCTGTTGTTGCGGTGAGAGGGATGCTAGTGGTGCTGTTGCTGCTGTACAGTTGCTGCTGCTGTTGCTGCTGCTGCTGCTGCTGCTGCTGCTGCCGCTGCTGCTGCTGCTTTACCTGCATGCGCCAATCGTTGATTTCGACGGGATTTGAGAGGATTTGCCGGATGTCGAAGGCGCTGCTGTGCAGCAACTGCTGCTGCTGCAGCTGCTGCTGCCACTGCAGCAGCAGCCGCTCTCTGTAAGACTCCGCCAAAGGCCCCAAATAAATCAAACTTGCTGCAGCAAGGAGACTGTCTCCTTCCACAGAGGCCAGGTGCTGCGCTGCTGCTGCCAAGCTGTCTTTCCAGCGGATCTTCACGCAACAAACCCTAAACCCTAAACCCTAAACCCCAAACTTTGAACCCGCAACCGCAGCAGGGAGGCTCTACGCCGCGTATCGGCCTCACAGCAACGACAGCTGCAGCGGCCCCAAGTGCCCAGGGATAAACTAGGGTTTAGGGTTCAGGGTTTAGGGTTTAGGGTTTAGGGTTTGCGGACGGCTTCTTTGGCGAGTCCCTGGGTGAGGAAGCTGGCGCGTTCGAGGCGGACTTGGCAAAGTTTTGTTTCTTCTTCAAGTTTTTCTTTTTCTTTTATTTGTTCTTTTAATTCTTTTCTCATTTTATTTACTTTTTCTTCCACGAGTTGGCACCGCGACTGCGCCGCCCGCAGAGCCTCGTCCGCCTCCGCCAGCTGTACGTACACCCCAAACCACAAACTAGGGTTTAGGGTTTAGGGTTTGCGGGGTATGGTTTAGAGGCTGCGACGGCAGGCGCGGGCCGATGCGCGGCGCCCTAAATAGGACCTAAGCCGGCGCTTCTAGGGTTTAGGGTTTAGCAGCCGTGGCTTAGAATTTGGAACTCAGGGTTCAGGGTTTAGGGTTTAGGGTTTAGGGTTTAGGGTTTGCGTGGCAGCAGCAACGCAGCGGCCCGCGTCTGCGCGTCCCGCCCAGCGGCGCCACCCGGGGCAAAGGGGCGCGCCTAGCGGCCAAAGCCTAAACCCTAAAGGGTTCAGGGTTTAGGGTTTAGGGTTTAGGGTTTAGGGTTTAGGGTTTGCCTTTTGGTTGAGTTCTTCGACG